TTTTGTTTTTTTATGCGATAGGCTGCTGAAATAGAGAGAATTATTCTTGGACGGGGATCGGTGAACTTTCGGGGTCTTGGGGCTAGCCTCGAGACATTTTGTTGTGGCTTAGCTGATTTTTTATACACTCTGAGATTAGGAAGAAAGTTTCTATTAAGCCGAGGACATGGGCAGATATTGTGTACTTGATCCAGACTCTCTTTTAATTATTATGATCTGAACTATGAACTGCATGTCTTTCTCTCATGATGTTGTGTCAGCATTATTGAATCTCTTTACACTGAAGTAATCGTGTCAAAACAAAAATATAATATCTGTCTGTCGATATAGGTTTCATCTATGTATTTTTACTCAGTAGAAGGAACTGATTCCGGCCTAGCTATTCGCAATTTTTGCTTCAATTTTATCCCGAGGCTGGTTTTTGTCGAGATATAACTTGTTTATTATCGGATCCATGGTGAAATAAATTGCCACTTATTGTATTCGTCGAAAAGGTCCCAACATACTAAGCCGAATTATGAAGAAAAACTGGATTTCGAAGAGTTCCTTAGTGATTTATTGCAACATGACTTTCCATTTCGAGGGAATAGTTGGTTGGAAGGAACTCGTTAAATAGTCTCACCGGGAGCCGGAGAAGGATTGACATGGGATGAAGACTATTGGATTGTGCGAAGAAGTCCTCAGCTCACCATGTGTACTGCGACACACAACACTAACGATGAACCTTACATTACGAAAAAAAGCACAAAATACAATAAGCTTATTGTACTGTATTGTATTGTATTTTGTGCGTTTTGGGATAATGTATGGTTCCTTGTTATTATTATGTCTGTGACATTAAAGACGGTGAGCCGAGAACTTTTTCACATAGTCCAACAGTCTTAACTTAGTGGCAATCCCTCTTCAGATTCCTCCCATCTAACTTACCCTTCTAACTTGAAGTCATGCCACAATAAATCCTAATTGTGGTTGACTGGCTGATCTTGATTCTCATACTTATTGTGCAATAGACTGGAGCTATAGTAGTGTAGCTCGGGGGTTTCTACGTTTGCTTTCTAGTTTATATATTCATGGTTCAAATTCTGCCAATTAGTGCTAGTGACACCGAGGTGAAGCTGACTGTAGTCAAATCTGATTGAATTTCCTTTTTAAAATGCGCGGCAAAATGGTATTCATTTTAAATCTCGAGAATTTTTCTCCATTTATCGTGTACAGACGTGAAATCAGTCCCACAATAGACCAGGCTAGACTGGTGTGCCTCGACAGCAAAGTTTGTGTTTTCTCCTAATCCATTGGATTGCGTCCTTGATGCTTCGAGGCAAAGCAACCATTCTTTGCTGGTCAAGACTCCTAGGCTCAGTAGCATATTCACGATTTGGTGCAAATCGACATTCACATGAAATTCCTAGGTTCTAATGGAGCCCGATAATGTCACCAATAAATTGATTATTTTTCATGTTCTCTAGTCATTCCCGTGATTGCCTTAAGTGAAAGTTGTCATCACTTTATTCTCTTTAGTCAGGCTTAAAGTACACTGTTAACATTTTTATAATAACAGCCAAGTTTTCTGTATCATGTTGATGCACTTTTGGCCCCTGATTGAGTGCCTATATTGATCAGGTGTCTTCACAACTATTCTTTAAGACTTAACCTCTATCGATGGGTCTTCTTGCTCAAATCCTTCCAAATCCAACTCTAGTCATGGCTAGCACTTGAATATCCAAAATGCGGGTAACAGGATGGGGCTAGATATCTCTGTCATTTCTCTTAAAGTGTATTTCCCTCCCCCCTTACAATAATTAGATAGCCGATTGGCAAGTAATTTAAATAAATAAGCGGATAGGCCTCAGAACTTGCCTAATGCACTTCTAATGATCATCTGGAGATCATTTGATTTCTCCTCCTTGGCCTTTCCAAACGTTAAGTGTATCTTTCTACGCATTTGTATGTGTTTGTATCTTCGTATTCGTATGCATAAAGGCTTTATATGAGCTATTCTCTATTCTATATTAATGCGTATATGGATGAAGACGCTTCAAGTATTTTGGCTTTACTTGCTTTTGCCAAATCACTTGCAGCAGGCTTTATCATACCATTTTATTTTTTGCTTTTTACATTTCTGCATTATGGACGGATGCCTTATATCCATATTTGCATCACTTATCAAGACCGGATTTACTCTGAAGTGCGGTCTACTTATGAGCCTGCTTGATACCACTCATTGCCGTCTTGCTGTGCTTTAGTTCACGTTATATTTTCCACCTGTTTTATTGTCATTGTCAAGTATTGTATGCTTTTATGTTAAATTTACCCATTGCTGAGTGGGGCTTTTTTTACTGGTTCTACACTCGCTTCAGGCCAAAATTTATAATTCGACTTTAAACCGAATCCGACTACTTCATATCTTCCGATAAGCGATGTTAACAGGATAATTTGGAATGCTCTTTCAGATTGAGAAAAGTAATTAAATTTGACCGCAGAACATATGGAGGTTAACATATTTGACTCAAGAGGAGGTGCCATCTTTGGATCTTCCTTTTTGCACTGCTTCAGGTTTACGATAGTTTAGAAACATTATAAGCCAGAACTATGCTTTTCAACAGCACAATCCAGACACTATAAAACCAGATAAGCGCACTTTAAAATCAGAAACTACCAAATCTGATCGCCTTTGGTGAGGTAGTATCAATCAGATTATGTCTAATTTGCACCTGATCCTCGAGTGCTGATACAAAAAAGAAATAAGATAGTCCTTTTCCCGATGAATTCCCATAGTTACTCCCACATCCGGAGTAGATTGCATTTTGCCATTCTTATTGATGTTTAGAAGCGAATAATGTGCATCCAAGATAAACCTTTCAGCCCAGTTGACAATTCAAGATTATCTCAATCCAGATTCATTACCTCCGCCTCAAATAATCTCAGGCAGCTCAGCTATCAATACGGAAAGTGTACACCCTCTTGGCTAATGACGTGCACAACCATGATTTTATTGGAAATGCAAGTGGTTAAGATTCTGGATATATGGTGCATTTTTGGGCTCTTCGTAAGTCCTATTCAGTTGTTAAGCCCTGTGATACTAAGACATGAACAGGTATTTTGGATACATCCCTGAGGCCTATACAACCTAATCAATTTTCTCTTTCTTCCTTTCTTTCGTCCCCTTTGCGAGCCAAGTTTGCTAAAATAGATTTATTCACTTATGAACAGATGCTGACTATATTGGCTCTTATATAAAAGTAATCTTTATTCCCAAATGCATACACATACGATCTAATTCAGACTGTGTTTCATTGACGTGAGACCCGTTGGTTGATATTACAAAAAAGGGTAGTGTTAAGCTGATAAAAACCCCGAAATGCATCATACATTGTTTTCAAATTTACTGTGCACCTTTTAAAAGGGTGATTTAAAAATATGTAATGGGCCAATTTGATTTGCCTTTAATGCCTTGGCTTGAATACTTGAACAATTTCCTATTAACTTATTTATACGACCTATGGTTTGTAAATTTTCCTACTTGTCCGATATAACGCTCTTATTATTGACTTATGATTCTATCTGCCAAATTGTCTTTGTGCCTTACATACATACTGACGACACTTTTATTGCCATTGTTCCTAATGTCTGCAACCCATAAAAACTCTGCTTTTAGACACCTTAGCTCGATTATGACTTTATTCGAGGATCGAACTTTAATCATGGCGATCATAAACAAATGCCACATGTTTTCTCTGCTGAATACAATGCTGCCAACTTCGGTCTATTTTACAATCCTGGATCGCAAGTTGGAGGTACTGAGCTCTACCATTTCAGACGCACACCCTACTGAGGTGGCCGAAAACAAATTCCTTTAAACCAGCCGTCGTTTAACCTTAGTGAGGCCTTCTTGTTAACGCAGTCCTCGAGAAAAGCTCACTCGCTTCAGATAAATACTTACAAAGGTTCCTTTCATCAAATTGAATACATCGTTAGAGCTGGAACTCATTACTGCAAAAGCTTAAAGATAAAATAAAGTCAGAAAACCTTTTGGCAATCCTATGTCCGATAAACTCATGATTAAAAAAGGAAATATTATTGAAAATCCTTGATATAAAATTATGTAGTTAGTGCCCTTTCATATTAATCAGGGTACATGGGCATGTGTCATTCTATATCTATCTATTTTCGGTTTTAGCTATGAATATACACAGCATGTAGAAAAAAGCCGGATAGTCCTCTTCGTTTAGTGTTAACTTGAGGCTTTTGCAAGATGAAGTTCCAGCTCTATGAATGGACATGACGGACGAGAACTCATCCCCTTTGCACTCGAAACAAGGGAGGATGTCTCGTGGAGTGCATCAACCGGAACGTCGTATTAAAGCTAAACGCCTGCAGAACAACCGAAAATCATCCGTCGTCTTCTGACGAGATCGGCCCATGAATTTCTTCATCTTGCACTCTCGTACTAAATGAAGATATTTGCATTATTGTTATCTTAAAAAATTTGTTGGCACCCAGTTGCAATTCTTATATTATTTTCTCGCCTGCCCAAATCCTACCAGCCCATCAATCATTTCGCATAAAACCCTTTTGTGTGAAATATCAATTAACATGAGTTAGCATCTGCCAATTAAACCTAGGTTAAGCAATGCCCAAGCTATGGTTGTCTTTTCATCAGCTTTCTCAGTGGAATCCTCGCAAGGTACGAATGAGCACCTGGAAATAGCCTTCTTATGGTGCACACATCTGGAAATTAGCTACAACAGCCTAATTTCTATTTTAAGAATAGCATTTCGTTCATGCTATTGCTAAAGGCAGGTGATACACACTCCTGATCCCCAAATATCCGCTGTACTTCGATCCTTGCCAAGAGAATTTTAACTAGGGCCATCAGGGGGAAAAAACTTTTCCTCGGTGTGTTGCCACTTTACTCGTCTGTTTTGTACTGATTATTAGCATTCATTTGGAATGTTTTGTTTTAAATTTTGCTTGTTGCACTTATTTTTGTGACCTATAGCATGGCCTATCGTACAGACAACAAAATCAGATACTTTTCATTATATCTGCTTAAATTCGTCCTTATCATAGCACCACATGACTCTGTCACTGAACTTCTTAAACTGCAATATGAGTGTATTTATCAACTTATCTCCACTATTGATGGCGATACTGATTACCTCTCTTACTTCAGTACCAAATTCGAGCTTTCCACACGCCCATCAATGGCTTGTCGGTCCGATTCAAAAGCCAAGGCCAACTCTTCCGACCTTCCTGTTTCAGATGAAACGGACTTCTGCACCTTTCCTTTGCTCATCAAAGTCCAACTCCTCGTGCCTGTCTTCGCCTACCGGACAAATGGTGACAGAAGCAAACCTTCCTTCAAGTGATGAAGGCTTACATGCAGCCCAGATTCTACAAGATGACGTTACACAGCGTGATCCACCCATGCCGGCAACAGATAGCTTCAATGGACAAAGACAGTCTTCCATAGTTCTTTGTAAGACTTATACTTTTCACAGTACCATGTGCCTCTCGGCATCTCTCAGAGAGCCAAAGTTTTCCATTTGGTGATTGCGAATCAAAATACCAGCAATCAGACATACTGACCTACTAACTTTAGGCATTACATTTCATTTGAATGTCCATCCTTGACACAGTTCTGATCCACAGACGTCTTTCTTCATTGAATCTTCTTCGTATCTAATATTTTGGTAGAGAAAAGAAATCCTCATAAAAAGTTGGAAAGATCTCGTTAACCGTTCTCCACTGAGCTTCGAATTTAGTGTTATTTGTTAGTTCAAACATGCGATTTTGTCAATAAAGTAGGCCTTCTAGGTTGGCCTACTGGTTAATTTTATTACATATATGGCCCGTAAGAGATAATTTAATGACAAAATCAGGATAAGTAATCGATGGGTGTAGTCAAATGCTGTCTTCACTTGATTCTGAGTGAGCCGAAAAGTACGAAGGTATTGAGTTGATATATTGTCAAAGGAAATTTCTGCCCTTTTGGGTGTAGCGAAGCTTTGCACTACTTTCCAGCTATTACAACGAAGCCTAAATTAAAGTTTATTCTATAATTAGAGCAACTGGGCTTCGAGACTCTTCCGAGAAGTCTTTGTTTTGTTAGTGCAGTTCACAAGACATTTTCCTTAGGCTCTGGTCAGCATGGAGTAAACTTTCGTGCGAAATAACAACCAGCAGGTATCATCAGGGCTAGATATCATTCTTACAAAAACCTTAAGGTAAAACTTGATCACCCAAACTGCTTTTCTCTGCCTTATATGCTCTATATACTAAGCTAAAAAAGAACTGAATGATTTCGCTGGTTTATTTTTATGCTAATCTAAATAATTTGTGTTTAAAAATCTATTGATCCGGTTTTCACAGCTTGTTTGTGTTTTTAAGGTATCTTTTCCGGAGTCCTCCGCCATAGCAGTCATTATAACTTTCAGCATCGGACCGTGGACTTGGTCAAGGGATAGACATCACTTTGACTTTCACCTCAATAAGCTTTGACAACGTCGGTGAAACGTCTGGTTATGTACCAAGCCCATGGTCTGATGCTGGAAATTACCATGACTACTATGTCAAAGGACTCCGGGCCAGGTGCGTTCATCTAGGCCACCTTGACTACGTGGCTAAGTTTCGAAAACGATGTGAAACCACAGCGAAAGGAGATTGCAACCAAATTAAAAGCAACACCACCATGTTATTCATATCTTTTTTGCCAACGTGTTTGTGTGCATGTATGTTTTGAAATGTGTATGTGCGTGTCAGAATACGGAAGCATCAGTTATTATCAGGGCGTGCATACAATAGAGCCTGACCTAAGTCAGGAATCATCAGTGCCTCCCAAAAGTAGGTCTGGCTGAGCCAATGAGGTCAACAAATATGTGAAATTAATGTAAATATGGAAGGTATGAAGACCAAGATGGTCTGGCCTTTTGTGTGGTCGCAGTCTCCTTTCGTTGTATAAAAATTGCTTGACCTTGTTTTCGCAACTTGGTCATAATGGTAGGAAGACTTAAAGGAACGCACCTAGTCCGTAGTCCATTGGATGCATCATCATTTCCAGAGTACGACCGTAGACGTAGTACATTCCCAGACGTT